AGTGGATACTGTGGTCCATAGACATCTACATTTATCCTCGGTAAAGACTTAAAATGCAGATGCGTTGTTACCCCTGGTGACTAAGATATAACGGTTGATTCCCAGTAATAAGGGTATCCGTTTCTCTACACTTACAATAAACACAGCAGCATTAAGCTGCCATTTTACACTGATAGTCTGTGATAGCGTGGTCCCCCGGTCGAGGCGACCCATTCGTGCTACAACCATAATATAGCTGCAGCGTGGCTCTACCACGTAATGAGCAATGGCGAAAAAATTGTTGATGGAATTATTAAGCGTCTGCCTATGAGACCATTACAGATATCAATAAAATAATTTACTATGTTTTATCTAATCAAGCTTATGGCCTATCGAAGTCTGGAAAAAAATCACCATACATATTTAAAACTAAATTGACCAGTTGTTGTGGAAAATTATTGATGGAATTATTAAGCGCCACTTTTGTCACCATTACAGATATCAATAAAATAATTTACTATGTTTTATCTAATTAAGCTTATGAACTATCGAAGTCTGGAAAAAAATCATCATACATAATTTAAAACTAAATTGACTAGTTGTTGTTTTTGTTACGATTCGCCAATTACGCAGTCAAAGGTTTTATACTATACAGCCTAGTTTAATGTGTACTTTAATCACAAAACTCTTCTCAATATAATAATTCGACACATTGCGAAGTTCTTGGGAAGCTGACAGTTAATGACGATAATATACACGCACTGTTATACACTATTGTTTTGAAGTTTCAATTTATACCCGACGAGAAGATGTGTCGTAATCTTCCGAACGCTGCCCAGCCGAGTTGAATCCGTCGATTGACCTCTCGGTCGATGTTGGACTTACCTAGTCGGACTGTTTGTCCCAGGTAAACATACTCGTCAACAACTTCGAGCGTAATGCTCCCAACAACTACCGGCATAGGTGTGACATGGACGTTACACATGAGTGCTAATGGACGATGAAGAATAAATATTATTGTTAATTTATTTATATTTTAGTACTTTAATAAATGTTTAAAAAATTATAGAAAATAAAATTAGACATTATTATTCGCGCGATAAGTAAATTGTTGAACTAATAGTTAGGTATGAATACTAAGCTTTGAGAGTCACACAGTACAAAATCGAGTTAGAACCCATTTTGTAGCTCAATTTTCTATACTGATTTAACACTTGCTCAGCGGAAATTAAAAAAAAAACAACAAGAAGTTGAAGATTTTTTTATTGAGCCATTTATTATGGTTCGCGTTACTATTTATACACAGCAGTATGTTCAATTTGTATACAATGATTTCGTTTTTGCGCAATAAATACATTGCAAATAGATTTCGTTTAGGAACATCAGGTTCAAAAAAGTTAAAGAAACGGCCTTCCATCTTTGGAATAGACGGCTCCTTGGCGCAGTGGCTTAGCAATGAGTTGCAGCGCTAAGGGCCGCGGGTTAGAATCCCGCACGGAACAAGTATTTGTATGGCCTACAAGCAAGTAACTGTTCCGGTTCTGGATGTTTGTCCTTGTGAAATTTATGTAAACTGCCCCCACGATACAGGAGAAAATCCTAGTGTGGAGGTACGTTTAAAAAAAAATAATAATTTCTGAACTATAACATATCTATACAAATAAATAAAATTGAAGTGTCTGTTTGTAATGTCATAATTACAGCTTTTTACTAATTGCATATGAAAGTATATACGGTACTTATAACAAAAACACAATTTTAAAATTTTTGTCTGTCTGTCTGTTTGTTCCGGCTTATCTCTGAAACGGCTGGACCGATTTTGACGGGACTTTTACTGGCAGGTAGCTGATTTCGTAAGAAGTAACTTAGGCTACTTTTATTTTAGAAAAATAATTAGGGTTCCGTGCAAAAACATAAAAACCCTAACACGCGAGCGAAGTTGCGGGGAACAGCTATTTATTAAAATAAAACTCTTAAATAATTTAAACAAAGAACCAATATGTTAATTCAACCTCGAAAACGCACAACGACCAAAAAACACACGGGCGCTAATTTTCCTACACAATAAAAAAAACACACAAATGCATTTACATAACTCGAGGAAGTGTCAGCGTGTGTCAAGGCGCGCGACATTGACTTTCGATATACGAGCGCGGTTATCTCGGATCTAGATAAGGCAATCTAAACTCCAAATTTCCTCGGACGAGTGTCGGTCATGTGCCCAAACCTAATCAGGTTTCATCATCACGTCACTGATAACGCATTAAGAAAGTTTTGAGCACAGACTCGGCAGTTTTATACCTTCTTCACCAGTCCAATCAGTCCACAGCTGGATATGAATGAGTCCTTCCCGATGGAGAAGGATTTCAATGCTCCCCTACCTTATTGGTATTTATCCAATAAGTTTTTTTTTATTATGTATCAAAATTCTTTCATTCATATTCTTACATTACGCGGTTTTCCATTTACTGGCACGGCCACGGTGCCGTGGCTTCGTTTATCCACTGCGCCGGTGCCGGTGCCGGTGCCGGTCTACACTCGGTTTTTGTGCTAGTACTGCACAGACAGACTTCACAATCACCCGTGAGGACTAAGATGGAATGCCTCTTTGCGAGTAAAAAGGGTATCCGTTTACACTCACCATACGAAACACAGCAGCGTTAAGGCGACGTGTATAGACGACTTTGATGAATTTGAGGGGGTGAAACAGATGAAGTAAGGGACGAGTAGTCCCACCCACTGCGGGGTGCACCGCGTGAATCTCGCTGACGCTACTCGGTACAGCGCGCCGCTGTCCGCCTTCGCACCGTGTTTCAGATATATATTTTGTATTCGTATTTTTAAAATGTTTCTACGTTTATTTTCGTATCTAAAATATGTACTTACATATTTTTGTTTAGTTATTCTAAAAATATTATATACCTACATATGTTCGTGTTGTTATTTTTAAAATATGTACATATTCTATTTTCTTAATTTTAAAATAATCAATAATTGTTATTTTCTAGAAAAGGTTATCGAGAATTTTTGTAACAGATTCATTAAATGAATAATAAATTTATGCTTACGTAAAATGGCTTTGGACCAAAATGGTTAATCATAGAAATGGCCTATTCTCGAAACGGCAAATTGTCAAAATTGTGAATTTATAAAAACAATAATTTTAATTCCTGTAGACATTTTTCTTCAGAATCAAGAGTAAACTATTATGAACAAATTTTACTATAGCGCTAGCCCTAAAATCGAAAAAACAAACAGCCGTTTCATAATTTTTTTCCCGAGTGAACCTTTTTGAATTAAATAGCAGTTTTTTTTGGATTTGTGGGTTGTTTGAAGAATACATAAAAATTAAACAAGCTAATTATTTCAATTTAATTTTATTATTTTCATGTATTCACGCATACGGAGGGAAATCTAATTATATAAATTTTGGAAAGAAAAATAATTCAGTCAGCATTTTTCTGTGCACCAAGGCATATTTTGTGTCTTTGGTTACAGCTCTCAACTTATTGCAAATATTGTGCAACACGTGGTTTCGGCATTCAACTTTTTGAACGGTATGATTCAATGACAATGCCTTATAATTATTTCCGTAGGATCTCGATGACCAACAGACGTCAGCATTTATGTCTATTAGAGGTATGCCACCTTTGCTCAATGTTCCTTCAGCTATCGCTGCATCACGCTCACGCATAGCTGCTGCCGCCGTCACCGAAGTACACCTTCAGGTATCTGCATCAAGTTCGGAGGTAAGGTCTTATCATAACTAACAAAACGAGCCCAAGCTCGGCACACTTAGTTCTACTCGTCCAAGAGTTCCAGTAGCAGTCACCGAAGTACATCATCTGGTGTCTCCATCATGTCCGGAGGTAAGGTCTCCTCATGACTAACAAAACGAGCCTAAGCTCGGCACACCGTATTCTATTCGGCCAGGAGTTCCAGTAGCAGTCACCGAAGTACACCTTCAGGACACTCTATCAAGTCCGGAGGTAAGGTTTCATCATAACCAACAAAACGAACCCAAGCTCGGCACACTTAGTTCTACTCGTCCAGGAGTTATGCTGGTATTCTGCGAGAGCGTGGTCCTTCCTTAGTTGCTGATTTCGTAATTTTAAAACTCGTAACGAACTATCCGAACTATCCATTAAGTGTTTGAATATTTATTTTTAGGTACAGTAATGAAATCAAGGTTCGCCTTCAATCAATAGTACGTTAATCAGCATTTTACGATGTCCGCATTGTCTTGCGGTGCGATCTGGTTTCCATCGGTTACATTGCGCAAGATTAATTGTGCTTTTTCTTACTGTAATTAATAGCATCATATTACTTTGTAACTCAATATAAAGGGTTATTTTTCAAAGAATAGCCAAATTGTAAACTTAAGTTCAAATATATAAATAATGATATACCGTTATTGCGGTGTTTAAAAATACCAGTAAATAAGGTTTCCACTTTTATTTGAAACTAGCTGTACCCCGCGTCTTCGCCCGCGTGTAATTTCGTAGTACATAGTAGTAAATCTTTTTCTAAGAAGCAGAGGTAAGCCAGTAAACGTAAAGTAAAGTAAAGTTACAGCCTATTTACGTCCCACTGCTGGGCACAGGCCTGCTCTCATTTCTGAGAGGGTTTTAGGGCAAGGAAATGTCCGCCGCGCTGCCCCAATGCGTGTTGGCGAACTTCACATTTTTTTTTATAGGATAAGGGTGACAAACGAGCACACAGTCCACCTGATGGTAAGTGGTTGCTGCGGCCCATAGACATCTACATCTATCCTCTGTTACAAATCAAAATGTAGATGCGTTGTCACCCGTGAGAACGAAGATGGAATGCCTCATTTCCAGTAAAAAGGAACCAAGGGAAACGCAGAGGTAAACCTCTACTTCACGCTGGTTTTCTGTAAGGACGTGGTACAGGGTGGGGCAGCATAACTTCCTTTTTTTAAAACCTAATAAAACACATTGTATGAATCGGAAAAATTTTATTTGGTTCTTACAATGTAAGTACATACTTAAAGTTTTGTTTTATTTAGTTTTGAAGATCAAATCAGGTAGATGACGTCCCTTATTCTCTATACATTGAGTATACCGATTTCTGGTGTTTGTCATAACTCTTTGAAGCAGAGCAGGCGTTATGTTGGCAATTTCTTCCTGGATGTTGTTCTTTAAATCTTGTAGGGTCCTTGGACGGTTCACATAAACACGGGATTTCAAAAAACCCCATAGAAAAAAGTCACAAGGGGACAAATCGGGAGATCGGGCCGGCCACTGCAAATCGCCCCTGATTGAGATAAGGCGTTCTGGGAAGTGTTCTCTCAAAACAGCCATCGATGCTCTTGCAGTGTGTGCCGTTGCACCGTCTTGTTGGAACCAAATGTCTCCCAAGTCCAACGCATCCAGCCGGGGTAAAAAGAATTCCTGTAACATGTTTACATACCGGCCCGAATTCACTGTTACTGTGACTTCATTTTCCTCAAAGAACCAGGGACCAATAATTGCAGCTGAGGAAATTGCACACCACACTGTGACCTTAGGTGAATGCAAAGGCCTTTCATGCAATTCTCGAGGATTGGTGTCAGCCCAGGGCCAACGGGGCTAAATTAAAGCGATTTCGAAAGGCGCGCTGAGTTGCAATCACAGAACATCCGCGCGAAAAGTAAGCCTCAACAGCAAACGCACGCTCCTCACTGTTCCAACGCATTATGGCGACTGAGCTGTCTCGACTAAACTTTATAGCCCCCCCTCTCGAACGAGACCACTAGCGCTCCACTACGATGTCACCTGACCGAATGGCGCGCATTACAAATAAGGAAGTTATGCTGCCCCACCCTGTACTACCCCGGTTCGAGCCGGCCCATTCGTGCGACAGCAAAAGCTGCCGCGTGGCTCTACCATGTCTTCGAAATACTTTTTTTGTTATTTCTCAGACATGCAGGTTTCCTCACGATATTTGCCATCACCGCCGAGCACGTGGTAAATCAGCACTTAAAATTGCAATTACCAATTTCATTGGTGCCGGCGGGAATCGAACCCGGGATGCTCGAGTACTGTGAATGGTAAGCCAGTGCTTGATTACAATCTCATCTGGTGGTAAGTGGCGATGAAGCCCTAGATGGTAAATCGCAATATCTTAGCGTAACAAAAGCCTGTTCACTCTTATCTTGAAGACGCCCTATAGAAATAGAAATTATTATATTATCCAAACATAAGATTTATACGTGGTAGAGCCATGCTGCAACTATATTAGTAATATAGTTGTAGCACGACTGTGTCGGCTTGATCGGGGAAGGACCACGCTCTCACAGAATACCAGCGTTAAATAGGAAGCTCAGTGCTGCTGTGTTTCGTATGGTGAGTGTAGAGAACCGGAGACCCATTTTACTGGAAAAGGGGCATTCCAGCTTAGTCCTAACGGGTGACGACGCATCTGCATTTTGATTCTTTATTGAGGATAAATGTAGATGTCTATGGGTCACAGCAACCACTTACCATCGGGTGGACTGTGTGCTCGTTTGTCACCCCATCCTATAAAAAAAATAAGAGCAGTCTCAAAGATACTCATTTGCCTTAGCCTAATTTTTAATGGGAAAATGCCTACACATTTTGTGGCAATTCCTGGGGCGGCATAAGTTCAGCAGTGGATGATGGGTAGCTTATGATGAGGATGATGATGATGTTGATGCCTGCGCATACCCCGGTCACGAGGGCAATGACAAGTTAGACTATACTCGCACCGACTAAAACCTCAACTCGGTTGAGGTAAGCTTGCACCTCACTGCAATGCGAGTACCCCACGTTTCCCTGCTCTTAAACCCCTGTTCATACAGTCGCGTCAGTACTCAGTACCATCGGCACGGTTTGCATCTTTGTTACCGATACGCATAATTTTTGTTTTTTCTTTTTTGGATTATTTTTGTTGTTACCCTTCGGACCGAACCACAGCAATGCAATCCCGACTATTTCCCGGCAGGAAAAGGTAAAAGGTCGGATCGACCGGGGAAGGACCACGCTCTCACAGAATACCAGCGTAAAATAGCAGCTTAACACTGCTGTGTTTCGTATGGTGAGTGTAGAGAACCGGAGACCCTTTTTACTGGAAAAGAGGCAATTCATCTTAGTCCTCACGTCTAACAACGCATCTGCAATTTGATTCTTTATTGAGGATGTCTATGGGTCACAGCAACCACTTACCATCAGGTGGACTGTGTGCTCTTTTGTCACCCTATCCTATAAAAAAACGCATAACGAGATTCGATGCAAAGTCCCCCGTCAACTTCGTTGCGATTAGAAGTTTGTTAGAAAAATAGCTGTGGAATTTATTAGAATTGGATTTCATTCGTTTTTTTTACGCGGAACCCTAATTATTTTTCTAAAATAAAAGTAGCCTATGTTAATTCTTATAACATCAACATATATTTATCAGTAAAAGTACCGTCAAAATCGGTGCAGTCGTTGCGGAAATTAGCTAGAACAAACAGACAGAAAGACAAAAATTTGAAAATGGTTTTTTCTTTGTTATAAGTACGGTATGTACTTTCATACGCATTTAGTAAAAAGCTATTGTTTTGACATTACAAACAGACACTACAATTTTATTTATTTCTATATAGAAGTAATAAAAGATATCATTCTATTTCACGTCATAATCGAAATAGACAGGAGTGGAAATGGAATAATTTGCCGGCGTCTGTCTTTCCGTCCGTATACAATCTTGGCGTCTTCAAGAGAGAATAGGCTATTGTTACGCTAAGACAGTGCGATTAATTATTTAGGTCTCCATCCCCACTTTTTTTTATAGGATAGGGTGACAAACGAGCACACAGTCCACCTGATGGTAAGTGGTTGCTGTGGCCCATAGACATCTACATTTATCCTCCATAAAGAATCAAAATGCAGATGCGTTGTCTCCCGTGAGGACTAAGTTGGAATGCCTCTTACCCAGTCAAAAGGGTCTCCGGTTCTCTACACTCACCATACGAAACACAGCAGTGTTAAGTTGCTATTTTACGCTGGTATACTGTGAGAGCGTGGTCCTTCCCCGGTCGAGCCGACCCATTCGTGCTAAAACTATAGAACTAATATAGCTGCAGCATGGCTCTACCACGTGCAAAAACTTACCACCAGATGGTGTTGTAGTTAAGCACTGGCTTATGTTAAGTAAAAAAATCAACTTCCATGTAAAGTTTCATTCAAGTGTTTAATGGACAAACATCCAAGCAAACATACTTTCATATAAGATAACATTACCTACTTTCTACGTGTGTTTAAGTAATATCATCAAATAAGTATTCATTTCTTCTTTCTTTAAAACGAAATAATACATAAGCGACAGGAGCCTAATGGCAGTGTGCGGACCGTGAACTCAATAAGGTCGTGGGTTCGAATCCGCCATTCGACTACTGTCGTGAACCACTCCTAGCACAAGCATTTTAAGCTTACACTTAATAGCATTAATGGAATTACTAGTATTATTTAAAAAAAAAACATAGCGCCAATAAACGTTTCCCAAGCTTTACCCTATTTTTTTTACAGTGGTAGAGCCACGCGGCAGCTTTTACTGTCACACGGATGGGCCGGCTCGAACCGGGGTGGTACCACGACCTCACAGAAAACCAGCGTGAAGTAGAGGTTTACCTTTGCGTTTCGCTTGGTGAGTGCAGGTGGCCGGGGGCCCTTTTTACTGGATATGAGGCATTCCATCTTAGTCCTCACGGGTGACAACGCATCTACATTTTGATTTGTAATAGAGGATAGATGTAGATGTCTATGGGCCGCAGGAACCAGTTACCATCAGGTGGACTGTGTGCTCGTTGTCACCCGATCCTATAAAAAAAAAATTTCACGCTAGTAAACAGTGCAGTCACTCAAACCCTCTTATCTCGAGATAACTGTCCACCACTCCATGTTTATAGCAGTGATAACACTTTCGTTTATTTTTTAATGGAACCCAGCTTAATCCGCGGCTCAGCGCGGATATGAAACCATAAAAGAAATTGCCCTGTGATAACATTGGAGAATTCGTCACGCCCTCCCCCCTAACTCACATAGATCTTAAACCATTTGTTAACCATCCTATGATTAAACTTTTCTTTCAACAACGTGATCACCCCACAATAGGATTTTCTACCGTATCTTTGAGGCGTTGTACATCTATACAAATAAATAAAATTGAAGTGTCTGTTTATAACGTCAAAATTACAGCTTTTTACTAAAGGCATATGAAAGTATATACGGTACTAATAACAAAAATACACTTTCTAAAGTTTTTGTCTGTCTGTCTGTCCGTCTGTCTGTCTGTTTGTTCCGGCTACTCTCCGAAACGGCTGGACCGATTTTGGCACTGGCAGATAGCTGATTTCACAAGAAGTAACTTAAGCTACTTTTATTTTAGAAAAGGAATTAGGGTTCCGCGCAAAAAAATTAAAACCCCAAATAACACGCAGACGAAGTCGCGGGGAACAGCTAGTTTCTATATAAAAATGGAGCATGAACAAACATCTATTCATCTTTTTGCGTGATCGAGCCAAGCTGCAGCTATATTACGGTTGTAGCACGAATGGGTCAGCTTGACTTCGGTAGGACCACGCTCTCACAGATTATCAGGGTAAGATAACAGTTTCATGCTGATGTGTTTCGTATGGTGTGTAGAGAACTGAAGACCCTTTTTTACTGGAACGAAGCATTCCATCTCAGTCCTCAGGGGTGGTTAAAGGAGCCCTTAAATGTGGATGAGTGTAGATGTCCATGGCCCACAACATCCACTTACCATCAGGTGGACTTTATGCTCGTTTGTTGCCCTTATCCTATAAAAAAACCCTACAATTAAACTTAAAACATTAGTAGTTTCAGTCACATCTTTGTTGCGTTATAGGATATAAAAATTACGCATGTACCAAACATCTAGACTCAGGCACAAAAACCCACATTCTTCGGTACTCAAACTTTCCAATCAACAGTCCATAAACTGTACAAACTAAAAAGTTGAAAATGCACCGACATCTTCACGGATGTCTAAACAGTCTGTGCAGTCCTCGTTAATCCTGACACAAGGCCTAGTCTCTAAAGATTTAAATTCCAGAGTCAGCCCAGCGCTCAACCCAAACGAAGCCAGCTTTTGCCATAGAGCAACCCTGTCTATGCGTCATTGGCCTTTTCCAAGTCAAAATATGCACAGTGTCTAGTGCTTGGCGAAAAACTACTCTGTGATCATAACGCATAGAAATGACCTAAACCTAGTTTCTTAAATATGTAGATGTGTCTTTTTATGACGGCAATTTCGTGCATATCAAATCCAGCGTTATAACAAAAACTCGTAGAAAATTATACCCGTGTGAAACGATAACTAGTTTGCTGGTCCGAAATCAACAATAAAACAACGGTAGACAACTCAAAGCGTATATTAATAGCTATGTCTTTTATTGTATAAA